CTGTGGGGCCGGGGGGCTGTTAGGAGCTGATTGGGTCCTGGGGACTCTGACTTCATTGAGCACATTAACGGTGATTGAAGGAGTGGATTTGCTAGGAAAGCAAGTCCTCTCTGCTGGCTTGCTCTGTCACACCATGTGATGGCCTCTGCCATGTCATGACCCCCTGGAGGGCCTTCACCCAGAGCCCGAGCAGATGCCCACCCATGCTCTTGGACTTAAGAACTTTGAGCTAAATAGACCTCTTCTCTTCATAAGTTACCTGTCCGTGGTATTTAATTATAGTCACAGAAAGCAGACCAAGACAGGAATATGCCAGGGGACAACTTTCCCATGTTCCCTGGTGTTCAACATGTCTCTAGTGGGCGGTGAGGGCTGGGCAGACCCTTGAGTAGTGACTCATTAGTGGTTCATGAGAGCAGTTTTTAAAAAATGAAAATAAGTACTAGAGGAGATATTTCAGAGCATCAGCGTTTGTCTCCAGTCACCAACACTAAGTGTGATTTTGGGAAATGTGTGTGTGTGTGTGTGTGTGTGTCCTGGGTTGTGATATAAAACAACTCTTTTACCGTCCAATCAATTTGAAAGCCACTATGGTAGACGGCGATCTTTTGTAGTTTAGTGGCTTTGTTTTGTTTTCTGTGTCCTTACTTGGACTTTCCCAGGTCCCTGTCTCTTGCCCGCAGGGACCTGAAGGTGACCCACCGAGCTCCCAGATTGAGAAGAGGCCACTACGAGGGAGGCCTGACTTGGAGGCCGGGGACTTCCTCTTCCTGTCTGCCCTGCCCCCACCCCAGCTCTCAGCCCAAAGTGGTGGCGTCCTTGCCATCCAGGGGCCCCACCTGGTGACAGCGCAGGTGGGAGGGGGAGCACCGGGCTGGGCTTGCTGTCCCCATCCTCCCTGCAGGACCCTGGAGCTGAGCGGGGGCTGGGGAGGGCTGGAGCTGAGGCCGGACTCAGGCCATCAGGGAGGTCACGTGTCCTGTGGGAAAGCTCCCGGGCTCTCTCTGGCTGAGTAATGACATCGTAAATCAGCCCAGAACCCGCACTAGACGGCGTGTGTGTGTGTGTGTGTGTGTGTGTGTGTGTGTGTGTGTGAGAGAGAGAGAGAGAGAGAAATAGAGGGAGGGAAGGAGAGCCCCATTTTACAGAGACAGAAAGAGCCCAGAGCGGGGACTGTCACACAACCGTGGCTGGAATCTGGACACTGCGGCCCAAGCAGATGACCCCTGAGAGTCCCCGGCATCCCTGAGGTGGTGACAAGATCTCAGCCGTCCTGGTGCTGATGACACGGGGACTCCTGGAGGACACCCACTATCAGCCGAGCGCCAGGCCCCGAGTCCCTCATGGGGGGATCTTTGGTGGCTTGGGCTATTGTCAGACTGATGGGGGGAGGAGACCGAGGGCGCCATGTACTGGGGGACAAAGGAGCAAGGCTGCCATTCGGTGCCTGGCAAGGGTCCCTGGGCTCCTGGGTCTCCAGAGCTCTGCGGACCTCCTCTGTGCCACCGTTTGTGGGCACCAGAGTGACAGCTATGGCCACAACTGGGCCGTGACAAGACAGTTGCCGAGAGAGGAAGTGGTGCAGGGAGGGAAGGGGCGACATGCAGTAGGGTGGCGGGGGCTCTGCCTGAGGAGGGGACCTGAGGGCCGGAGGAGCCAGACTCCCTGAGTTCTCAGGAACAGGTGCCTGGGCAGAGGGGACAGTAAGCACGGTGGCCCCGGTGGCCCCAGGTGGGAAAGAGCTTGTTACCTTGGGAGAACAGAAAAGAGGAAGTGAGAATGGGGTGGGGGGACAGGGGCAGGTCCCCGCAGAGCCCGGCCAGCCTCTCCTCCTGCCCTGGGCGGCTGCTCACTGCCCCTCACAGGCCACCTTCCCTGCCATGTCCCCTGAAGGTCCTCGCCCAGCCGCAGCTTCCCGCCCCCCCGGCCATGTCCTGGCTCTCTGGCACTGTCTCTGCAGGGCCACCTGTGTGTCACCATGGATCTGCCTCGGCTCTGTCCCCGAGGTGCCTCGACTTCACTACTGTCCCCCAGGGATCTGTTTCCAACAGGGCCCTCCGAGGTGCTCCCCTGGCCACCCCAGCTGGGCCCCATGGCCCTGGTGGCAGCAGGACGGCTCCTCACTGGGGCTCTGTGTCCATAGAACACCCGAGGGACATTCATTTCCCTTCTCAGTTTTCTTTTGGAAGCCACCTTCCCTTCTCTTACGTGGACCGATTGGTCGGGGTCCACCCCTTCCCCAGATCCAGCGATGAGCACATCATCCAAGTAACGCCAATGAGAAACAGCTGTGGGACATCTCTGGAACAGTTGGGAAAGCAGATCTTCATTCTGCCTTAGTTACTTGTCTGTTAGGCTGCTGGGGACCATCCCTGCCTTACGAGGAGAGAAACTGCATGAAAACGAAGCCAGTATTGAAGAAAGCAAGAGAAGAAAAGAGGCACGGTCGTCTGTGAATTAGTTTAGCACCAGGATCCAGCCATACCTGAAATCCAAACTCCCCCGCTCCTCCAGAGTTTCTATTATAAAAACAAACAAATTCCTGGTTTGGGTTCCAGTCACTTGCGGGGGGAAGGCCTAATTGATAATAAGATGGGCGGCAAGGAGTCAAGTTTAGGTACTTTCCCCTCCAGGGATGTGGGCAGGTGCTTCCTTTCCCAGAAACCACTCCCCCTCTACAGACTCTGGTTGTAAGAGACCTGAGTGTTTGAGGTTTGTGCAACCCGAGGCAGAAAAGCAGAATCAAAGCAGGAGGTCAGAGGTAGAGCAGCTGCAGGAGCAGCCCCGCCCCTGGCAGCAGGAACTGGGAATCTGCATTATTAATAAGAGATCCATTTCCCTTTACTCTTCTCCTTGGTGGGCAGAGCCTTAATTTTATCAGCCTGAGTTTATTAACTCTGGCCACGTGTTCAGGAAAAGCAACCTCAGCCTCTGTGTGGCCCACGCCCGACAGCCTTCTCCAGTCTCTTGTTAGGAATTGGTGCTGGGAAGGGCTGTGCCACTTGGGACCCAGGACAGGTGAGAGGAAACCCCTTGAGGACCGGTCAGCAGGAGGCTTTGGGGAAGAAAATGGTTTTGCCTTTAGAAAAGCAACGCAGGACGCAGCAAGGCCCTGAGCAACTCAGTGAGACCCTGTCTCAAAATTAAAACAAACAAACAAAAAAATCAAAAAAGGGCTGGGGGTGGGGCTCAGGGGTAAAACATCCCTGGGTTCAATCCCCAGTCTCCCCACTAAAAAAAAAAAAAATAACACAGGAGAAAGAAACTTCATTTCCCCCTTTGCCAGAGACAGTGTGGCCACATGGAGAGGCCTTGATTGGCATGGAAACAGACTCTCTCACACTCTCCATCCAAAGCAGACTTACAGCACTCCAGGGTTTTCTCTTTCCCTACATCCGTGTGGGAGAAGAGGGGGTGGGTGTGACATTTTTCTGGCTTAACAAAGGAAAAACTCACAAATATTTATTCTTTTTGGAGTCTGTGTGCCAATTGAAGCATTATTCCTGGGATGAAGAATTATTAAGACAACACATCAGAATTGCACACTTGGGAAGGTTAAAATTTCCTTATGCGAGATGTCCTGATGATCTCTGAAGTCCCTGCGGTCCGCAAAGAACATTTGCCAGAGGAGTTTTATGATGCGGATGATTTTCTGCAGCTGCAAGGAAAGAGTCCGTCCTCCCCACCGCATCTCTTTGACATTGCTCTCACTAGCACTCAGAAGAACCTATGATCTTTGAGAGCTAGAATTCCTTTAGTTAGTACCAAGAGCAAAATCAGAGAGGCTACACACTTAGATGAAGGACAGGAAATGGGCAGAGTCCATTTTTAGCCAAAGGAAGTGTCAGGTTGTAAAGTTTTGCATCTGTAGAAAAATGATGGCTGGAACTATGGCAGCCATAGTGCCACCCTGAGGGATGATCAGGCCAACATGCCCAAAACCCTGAGTCCAGGAAGACACCATTTAATTGATAGATATAGAGCATCTCCTTACCTTTGTGGAACTAGTTGTTTTTGTAAAATAATAAAGGCCTTTAGTTTTTACAATGTTTGGAATGTATTCTTCATTACTTGCAGCCAACTGTGTCTTATATGATACACCTGGGGTGAGTAATGCACACAAGATGGGTAAGCCAGTGTGGCGCAGGAAACTGAGAGGATGGCCCAGTCAGTGGCCCTTACTGGGCATTGTCCCAGCTGTCTGTGTTGAGACAGACTCCTGATCTCTTCCAGGCCCAATCATGGCCGTCCATGACTATGAGGACCATCACGTAGAAGGGAGTCGTGAATATTTTTTCTTCAGTTCTAACCACCAACCACTAAATTTAATTAAGGTCATTCCCAGAACATGCTACTCATCAACCCTGATAATTCAGCTACAAAGAGATAAAAATATCAGATCAGCAATTGCCTTTGGGGGTGCATTAGGGAGTGGAGATTAACTGGGAAGGGGCAGAAGGAGACTTTAAGGGCTGATGGAAATGTTCTTTATCTTAACAGAAGTGTGTAATACATAAAGGTGTACCTTGGTCAAAAGTCAGCAAGTGTGCATTTAGCTGGGCACAGTGATGCACACCTGTAATCCCAGCAGCTTGGGAGGGTGAGGCAGGAGGATCGAGAGTTCCAAGCCAGCCTCAGCAACTTAGTGAGGTGCTAAGAAACTCAGCAAGACCCTGTCTCTAAATAAAATGCAAAATAGGGCTGGGGGGGTGTGGCTCAGAGTTGGAGAGTCCCTGAATTCAATCCCTGGTACCGCCCCCGAAGGAAATAAATAAAAATAAAAGGTGTTAAAATTGCATATAAACCTTGCATTGTTCTTTCATACATTTTATTTACTTATTTGTGGGGCTGGGGATCAAACCCAGGGCTTCACACATGCCAGGCCCGCACTCGGCCTCTGAGCTCCCTCCCCAGCCCCGTTCTATAAGCTTCAAACCACGTCTAGCTCACTCCTAATGCCTCAGACAATGTGAACGGTCTACCAGTCGCTGTTCTACTGCTTTAATTAGGGGACAATGACAGTGGGGAGCAAAAAGGGCTGAACATCTTCAGAACACATGCAATGGTTTTTCCAGATTATTTCCCATCTCGGACTCTGCAGGTGCAGGCCCCATGGGCATCCTTCGGGCTGAAGCCGGCTGCAGTCTGTGTCTCTCTCAGTGACATCCCAGCCAGGCCCTTCTCTTCCAGCGATGTGGCACCCAGAGGTGTTGTCCTCAGTGGCTGGAGATCACCAGGCCACACTGCAGGCCCTGGAAAGGGAAGGCAAGAAGAAATGGAGATTGTCTAAAGTGGAAGGTTACAATGAGAAATCAGAGAGGCCCACACCCTGCCCCGCTGCTGCCCCGCCTTGCTCTGGGCGGTTTGCAAGGCTCCTCCAGGTGCCCCTCACGGCCACCCTGAGGTGGGTGCCTTCTTGTTTGCAGATGTGGAATCCCAGCCCCTGGAGAGGGTGCACAGTGTCTGCAGGGAGCGGCGGGTATGAATCAGAGTCGCCCCTTCCAGTCAGGAAGTCAACAGAGAAGGGCTTTGTGGGTGACAAGGATGAGTCACAGAAGAGCCACAGAGACATCTGGTTAGAAAAGCCTAACGGCAGGAGCCGGCTGCTGTGGGCCTGGGGAGGAAGGAGGAGGGACAGGGAGGACAGGTGGCAGCACCAAGCGGCTGGCCGGCCATTCAGGCTGGAAGGCCACAGTCACAGGCTCGGACTCCAGAGCATTCCCCTCACGACCCCAAGCATCACCACAGCCATACCCGTGAGTGTCCCATCCTCCCCACGGTGTCCCAGCAGAGGGACAATAAAATCAGAGCAGGCGACTGAGGTTTGGGGACTAGCCTTGGGGCACAGACCTCCTGCCTGCAGGAGGACTCCAGCTTGGAAGGCCTGGAATATTCCGTATGGATGCGTGGAATGTTCCTTTAGGGGGGCTTTGCCGGTGTCCTCCCCAGGGTTGACTGAGACACAACCACCTGCACCAGGAAACCGGACTGAGGCGGGTCTGGGTGTGACCTCGCTCCACACCCAGGGGGATGCAGGCAGATCAGGTGCCCCCGTGACAGACCACTGCCCTGGGGACCTCGGGGACCTCTGGGACCTCTTGTCATGAGCGATCACTGCAGAGGAGGTACAAACCAAACATGGGACCCTCACTTGGATTGCAGCTGCACTGACCCCGACCCCAGTTGGAGAGGACGGCAGGCCCCCCCGTGGGAAGCCCCACCTGCCACGCAGGCCTGTTAAATGCCTAAATCTGCAACATGGGGATAGTGGTGGCATTTAGTGGAGAACCCACAGAGGGGTTAGGACACATATGAGCCCGTTCTAACGTCAGCTCTTGTGAAAAATAGAATATGGCCTTGATTAAAAAAGACAAAAAAGGGATGGGGGGCTGGGGCTGTGGCTCAGTGGTGGAGCACTTGCCTAGCATGTGTGAGGCCCTGGGTGCAATCCTCAGCACTGTGTATAAATAAATGAATAAAATAAAGGTCCATCAACATCTAAATATTTTTTTAGAGAATTTTAATATTTATTTTTTAGTTCTTGGTGGACACAACATCTTTGCTTGTATGTGGTGCTGAGGATCGAACCCGGGCCGCACGCATGCCAGGCGAGCACGCTACCGCTTGAGCCACATCCCCAGCCCCAATCTAAATAAATAAATATATATATATATTAAATCCAAAGCTGGATACTATGGGGTAAGCCTGTAGTCCCAGCTACCCCGGAGGCTCAGCCAGAAGGATCACCTGAGCCCAGGAGTTTGAGACCAGCCTGGGCAACACAGTGAGGTCCCATCTCCAAAAGCAAAAAGCACACAGATCAAGAAAAAGCAATAAGCCGGGCACGGTGGCGCACGCCCGTCATCCCAGCGGCTTGGAAGGCTGAGGCAGGAGGATCTCGAGTTCAAAGCAGCCTCAGCAATAGCGAGGCCCTAAGCAACTCAGTGAGACCCTGTCTCTAAATAAAACACAAAATAGGGCTGGGGGTGTGGCTCAGTGGTTGAGTGCCCCTGAGCTCAATCCTAGGTCCCTCCCCCCAAAAAACGAAAGAAGAAAAGAGAGAGGAGAAGAAAACATTTTAAGAGCCAAGAGGAGGGTGGAGACGGGCGTGGAAGGAGAAGGCCGGCAGCAGGTTCAGGTTTCCAGGATCCCCACCGACGGCCACCCAGGGGCTGGTAACAGTCTGACACCCGCCGCGGGGCTGGGAGCCAGTGACCTCTGCCTCCGAGCCTCCGAGCCTCCGTTTCCCGCCCTCCCGAGGCCGGAGACCCGGAGCCCCGCAGCAGGGGCCCTCTGCGGGCAGCGTCTCTCCACTCGGAAGGCGGCGCTGCGTTCCCGGGTTCGCACTTGGCAGACAAATCAAAAAGCTATAAATAGGCGCATCTCGGTTTCTCATAAATGCGTTAAAAGTTCCTTGGCGTCCTGCCCAGGCTTCCTGTCAGGGCGCGGGGCGAGGACTGCTTTGCAGGGTCTGCCGGTGTCAAGGTCATGGTCACGTGCAGGTGTTGAGGCAGGACCAGAAGGAGCCTCAGCGGCCGGGCACCACGTGTCGCCCCTCCCACCCCCAGGCCCTCCTTGGAGTGGGCTCAGGGCCACTCTGGGCCTCGCGAGCCCTGCCCAGTGACTCAGGCCCAGCCGCTGCCCGCCAGCCTGCATTAGGTCAATCCGTCTGCAGATGAGTTCTGGGAAGGCTGTGCCAGGCCGCGGGGGGAGGTAGGTGCAGGGCCAGTGAGAGCCCTGGGCAGCCCTGGGTCCCCTTCCACCTGGCTTCACAAAGTTCTCAGAGGCCGCAGGGGCAGATTCCAGACTCCGCCGCCTGGGTTCAAGTCTTGGCTGCCCCAGGTCACTGCGGGCTCTATCTACCCACTCAGCGCTTCCACTTCCCCATCAATGAAATGGAGATAAAAACAGTGACCACCCAGCAGGGTTGCTGGAGGATTGAACCCAGGGGTGCTTAACCACTGAGCCACACCCCCAGTCCTTTTTATTTTGAAACAGGGTCTTACTAAGTTGCTGAGGCTGCCCTTGAACTTGTGAGCCTCCTGCCTTAGGCTCCCAGGTAGCTGGGATTACAGTCGTGCACCCCCCACACCTGGCTTGCTGGAGGAATTGAATGGATGATAATGATGATGGTGACGGTTATGGTGATGGTGATGATGATGATGATGATGGTGATAATGATGATGGGGATGGTGATGGTGGTGATGGTAATGCAGGTGATGGTGATGATGATGATGGTGATAGTGGTGATGGTAATGGAGGTGATGGTGATGATAGTGATGTGATGGTGATGGTGATGATGAAGATGGTGGTGGTGATGGTGGTGATGGTGATGGTGATGGCTATAGTGGTGATGGTGATGGTGGTGATGATTATGGATGTGATGGTGATAGTGGTGATGGTGGTGGTGGTAGTGGTGATGGTGATGGTGGTGATGGTGGTGATGGTGATGGATGATGATGGAGGTAATGGTGATGGTGGAGATGGTGATAGTGGTGATGGTGATGGTAGTGATGGTGATGGTAATGGTGATAGTGATGTGATGGATGGTGATGATGATGGTGGTGGTGGTGATGGTGATGGTGATGGTGGTGGTGGTGATGGTGGTGATGGTGGTGATGGTGATAGTGATGTGATGGATGGTGATGGTGATGGTGATAGTGATGTGATGGATGGTGATGGTGATGATGGTGATGGTGACGGTGATGGTGGTGATGGTGATGAATATGGTGGTGATGGTGATGATGGTGGTGGTGATGGTGATGATGGTGGAAGTGATCATGATGATGGTGGTGATGAGGTGATGGTGGTGATGAGGTGATGGTGGTGATGGTGGTGATGGTGGTGACAGTGGTGGTGACAATGATAACGATAATGACCTTCTAACAAGGGATAAAGTAGGCACATAGTAGCTGCTGTGAATAACAATTTGCTACTATTAGTATTTTTCTGCCAGACTCTGTGATAGTCAGAGCAAGGACTCTGGAGCCAGGCTGGGCGTAACTTTAGCCCCTCTCCACTAAGAGTCAACGTAACCATAGACATGGAGTTAATCTCTCTGGGCCTCAGTTTCCTCATCAGTAAAATAGGAGGGGTGATTAGGAGGATAAAATAAGTGAACCCTGGCCAGATCCTGAGAATAGTGACCAGTGACTGTAAAATATTCCGTTATTATTACAACTATTAATAACACTGATGTTTTAAGAAGTGTGCGCTCCTTCTGCCGAGGTGGCCAGGCTGCAGTGATGTAACGCTGGAGCTACTGAAGGATGTCTCATCTTCCCTTGGAAAACACCTGCTGAGGATCAAGACAACGCAGAAAAGAGTGGACTGGAGATACGGAGGAAGAGAACTCTGAAGGACATTCTGTGAGCACCTCTGTCTAACTGTGCCTGAAGCAGAACCTTACCCTGGGCTTCTCAATCCCAAGAGCCCATAAATTTCTTCCTAGCTTAAACCACTTTGCTTGAAATTCTATTACTTTCAGCCAAATACATCCTAACAAGGCTGTTGGAGGGCTCAATTAGTAGCTAGGGAACATACGTGAGAGGGTGGGAGATGCTGAGGAAGACAAGTAATACTGCTTGGGAGGAGCAGGCTGTGGGAGGTCAGTGGGCCTCCTGGGTTGGAGGCCCAAGGGTGTTACTGACTGTGTACGGCAGAGTGGCTGACTCCCCCTCCTCCCCAGGAGTGCTCTTACACCGTGACTTTGCCTTTCTTCTCATCAAGAGATGGAGTCTGTCTCCCACCCCTTGAATCTGGGCCAAGCTTGCAGCTTGTTTGGCCCCTAGAACAAGGCGAACGTGACACTCTGCTAGTCCCAAGCCCAGGCTTTGGAAACCTTGCAGCTTCCGTTCAGTGTCTTGGACATTTGCCATGATCTCGTGGACCTAACTGGGCCAACCTGAGGAAGGATGGGAGGCCGGATGCTGCCAGCCAGCCTCTTGAAGCAGAGCCACTTAGCTACCCAGAGCTGACCACAGAGGTACGGGACAGCCACGCCATGGCTAGAAGAACGGCCCTGCTGAGCCCAGACTCTACCACCCACCTGTGGAGCAAGGAGTAAAGCACAGCCATGTTTGAAGTCCTGGGTTTTGTGTGGCTTCTCATGCAACCTTAGATAATTGTTTCATCTGGTTCAACCCAGTTTTGCCTGGGAATCTTCCCAAATCCTGACGTTTAGGTCACATGCAAACTGAGGCCTCCTCAGCCCAGTCCCTGGTGACTGGGTGCTCATGCTTTGTCTGGGCTCAAGTGGCCTTATAACTTCACGAGCTTTCTTGGATCTTTGCCACCACCTTGTGGACAAGGCTGGGCTGGCCCTTTGGAAGACAAATCCTGTGAAGAAGAGCCCAGTTGTCCCAGCTAGGTTGACATCTAGCTCGGGAAAACAGACTCTCAGAAAAGAGATCTCAGCCAAGATCAGCAGAGCCAAGCCCAACCCACTGCTGATCAGAGAAACACCAACAACTTCAGCTAAGACTAGCACAGCCTGGCTAGTTTGGAGACTTATAAATAATTATAAATGCTTTCTGAAATCCAATCAGGGGGGTATTTTGTTTTGCAGCCCCAAAGTGATAGCTGAACTTTGCATCCATGGGAAAGTGACTTCACCTCTCTGGGGTTCAGTTTCCTCCTGTGAAAAATAGGAACCTCTTGGAATGGTTATGAAGATGCCCAGAGCCCATGGTCCTAAAGCTCAGATCCTGTCTTAGTCCCTTAGGCTACTGGGATAGATTGCCATAGACTGTGACTTAAACAAACGTTTAGTTCTTACGGTTCTGGAGACCAGGAAGTCTAAAACGAAAAAGAAGCCAGGTTTGATGTCTGGTGAGGGCTGCTTCCGGGTTTGCAAATGGCAAAGAGCAGAGAGCAGAGAGAGGTAAAGTGAGCTCTTTTGTGTTTCTTGCAAAGACATAATCCCTATGGAGGTT